AACATCGGCAAAAATCAAACATTTCCCTAATTTGAGCTCCATTTCCAGGTTCTTTTTATAGTAAACCAATCAAAATCACCCTCTATTTCTATAATATGTTTACCATTCTACCAAATGAGACAAAGAAAATGAGAATTAACCATAAATACTATAGGAAAATAGACCACAAAGTCGGCATTTTAATTAAAAAAGAAACGGTTGGAGTTTTTTTTCTCATTTTGCACTGCGTGCTCCGGGATTTTTTTTATATGGTGCACACTGACCACATAAAACCCATTCTCTCACATGTGGGCCTACCAGCTTTCCCCCTGCTTGATTTGAACCCGCTAGAATTTATGAGTATACTATATAAGTAAAACACGGTACCTCGCAAGACGTTATATACGACCGAAACCAGTCAAAGGGTTAATAATTATTAGTATGTGGTTTTTGCACTGTAAAGGTTTTAAACAGATGGCTTAGGCATGAAATCTTCTGTTATTTTTACGCCTAGGGAAAGAAAAATGCTGACCCTGGCTCAATAAAGAATATGTTGAAGTGGTCCTCTTAACCTCAACACACAATGGCACGAAGTCATCAGCTGATATAACAAATGACTCGCACTGTCTACTACTCAGTACTCACACCTATCTCTAAACACTTCTTTATCAATAAGCAAGAGAACCATGAACTGAACCCTTTGAGGGCCCGTGCCGTTAGATCTACGGCTTTACGTTGAGGGTCCAAACAGTAGATCTACATCATGAGCTCAGCTCATCTGATAAGCTGCGAGTGGTAAATTTTGGCCTAGATATGAGAGAATACATCTATATGGTATGTGTGCACCACATAAAAACAAACCCTGCAGCACATAGTGCATAATGAGAGAAAAAACTGAGACTGTAATTTTCGATTAAAACAGCAACTTTGCAGCGTTTTTTCGTATATTTTTTATAGTTGTGTATTTGCGATTTCTTGTTTTCATTTGATAGAATGGAAGATATATTACAGAAATAGAGATGATTTGATTGGTTTAGTACTGGGGTATGGCTTGAAACTGAAACTCAAAGTAGTGGAAATGTTAAATTTTTTGCCAATGTTCAAGAGTTTAACAAATGACCTCACACGTATAATACATGCCTGTGGTGTAGACGGTCTAACATACGTCACAAATGTGGTGATAAATTATTTATACCCAAATTTTTACAATATTGCATAACAGTAAATCTTCTATTTTTTGGTTTTTAATAAAAATTCATTATGTGAATAAAAAATCAAAATGGAATTCATTAGTAAAGCCTGAAAAACATAACTAATGAACAGAGGAAATGTTAGTTTAGTGCCCGGAATGCATGCATTGTTTATCTGGACCCTATTTTGAAACTGAATATTTTGAAACTTGCATTAAATTGGCTAAATTACCAATTTCTGATCACTTTATTTTTTGGTTGAAATAGTTGACTTGGCGAATTCTTGTGCTCAATCGATAGAATTTGAGTAATACTAGTGAAAAAGCTAAGAATCTGGTCGACTGGAATAATGTAATTAGCCTAAAAATGGGAG